TGAGCCTTGTAAACTCCCACACGATCCCAACAGACGAGGAGTGTTACCTGTATTTTCCAGTTGGGGAATCAGGGCCAGAGAGGCTAATAAGGGACTTGCCTAACGTCACAGCTTTTCAGTACCCTAAGCTTCTTGTAATGTGAGTGAAAGCGCTTTTTAAACAGTGAAGTGTGACACCCCAGGGCGGTTTCTAGTTAGCTCTTAGCAGAGGCTGTGGCGGGTCCCTGAGCCCTCCCGCTCTCCCCGCATGCCTGGGAGCTGGGGGACTGCAGGGGCCACTGGGGCGGTGGGAGCCCTAGGAGGAGAAGCTACACCAGGTTCAGGAGCTACACTCCAGGAGCCGGATCTGAATTCCCAAGGGCTTTGGAATACTGGGGGGGGGGGTTGGATCACAGTAGGAGAGGATGTTTTGGTAGAATAGACTCAAGCCCTCAAATAACAAAGAGAAGGGATACACAGAGGAGCTTCTGAGGGAGATGTGAGCATCGTCCTGGATCATAACGTGGCTCCGGGTCCCCAGTGTGGGGGTGGGCTCTGGGGGTGCCCGCGAGGAGGGGCGTGCAGGCCCCGGGGGCAGCTGTGTGACCCTAAGCAGCTCTCTTCCTCTCTTTGGCTCTCAGCTCCCTTTGTCAACGGAGGGAGTGGCAGTCCATGGTCTCAAGAGCCCGTGTGGTTCTGACACTCCATTTCTACGTGGTGTTGAAGGTCCTGAGGCTCAGAGACCTGACCTAGGTATTCCTGAGGACCAGAGTGACCCCTGAATCCTCCTTACAGAGAGAGTCCTATGGAAGAAAGCCCGGGAGAAGAGGTCAAGACCCCACTGGGAAAGGACAGACCTGGCCTTTGGGGAATAACCTGTACTAGGTGGCTGCCACCTGCAGGCACTCTGCTCCCCGTCAGGCACGGGGCAGACCCCCCACTCCGTGGCAGCCCCAGGAGAGGTGAGGACACAGGCACCACAGCCAGCTCAGCCTCAGCCCCCCAGAGCTCCTAAGAAAGGCGGGGAGTGGGCAGGCCCCCGCACCTCCCAGCTTGGGGTAAGTCACTTCTCAGTCTCGCTCCTTATCTGTGAAGAGTTACCTTAAGGATTAGAAAGAGAGCTCCCAGTGAGTCTCCACTCTGGGATCCGGCAAGGTCCTCTGCTCCCCCACATCAAACAGTCCCTCCCTGTCCGTGGGGGAGGAATTGGAATTCAAGACCGACTCCTGTGCCAAGGCTCTAGGTCCTGCTGGCTTTGGGAGACACACGTGTGTGTGTGCACAGGTCCACATGGCTCTGGCCTCCCCAGCACTGAGGGCCTGGGGAGGGGGAGCCGATGTGGGGAACCACAGACCCAGCAGTGCCCACCGCCCCCGCGAGGCAGGCCTCTCCCCTAGCTCGCAGCTCCGGGCCACGGGCCATGGCAGGGCCCACGCCTGGGCGGGCACACAGGGCAGCATTGTCTGCAGCGCCTGGCACCCTCTCGTTTGCATAGCCACGTGAAGAATGCGCGGGAGCAGGGGGGGCTGTCCTGCCGGAGGGGGTCTGGGCGGTGGCAGGGGCGAGCAGGCCAGGGTCATCAGCGGGACCTGCCTTGTCCCCGCGCGGTCCGTCAGGGAGAAGCGGGTGGGCCGCCAGGGTTGGAGGGGGCGGCCGGGGGGCTGGCAGGAGCGGGAGCAGGAGCGGGGTTGTGACATTCCCCTGCACCCACGCTGAACTGAACGTGAGGGGATTGCTAATGAGGTCGAGGAGAGTTAAACATTCCCCTGCTCCAGAGGGCCGGGCTGGGACAGGAGAGAGGAGGGGGAGGTGGGGCGCTAGGAGGGGGCAGCCTGAACCCCAGGAATGTGCAGAGGCTGCTGCTCCCCACAAGGCTGTTCCGGAGCTGGGAGCCAGGGCCCCGAGCCTCCGGCCCCAGCAGGAGCGGCTAAGCCAGCCAGCAAGGGGATTAACGAGGCTGAACAGTCTGCCTTCTTTCAGGCTAATTCCAGAAGGTTGGTGCTATCTCCCACCTCCCTGCCAGGCTCCTTGCTGGCTGGCAGCCAGCTCTGTACCAGCTTTCATGAGGTCCCTCTTCTGTCCTCCTCAGATCTCAAACAGACCACACAGTGGGTCTGGCCCTCCCCTGTTTTCAATACACATGACCCTTAGGTACCCAGGACCCCCTCTCCCCGACACCCTCTCCCCAGCCCAGCTGACCTCAGAGCCCTCCCCAAAAAGTTCCCCCTTATGTCTAATTCTAGTCTTACCTTCTGCAAATTGGAGTTCCATTTTCTTTCCATCCTACAGTCAGAGGACAGAAAACCCCATGAGCCAGATAAGCTGTGCAAAAGCAAAGTTCATCATCTCAGGGCTGGTGCTTGGGGTGGGAATTAGGAGAATTTTAGGGCACTTGTATCAGGTTCCTAAAGGGGGTTCCCTAGCAGAAAGGCCCTGAGGGCCAGTGGGGTCACTCCTCCTGGCCCCTCCCTTCTCTATCCCTGGGGAGGGGCACCCATCTTGGCCACGCCTCACCCCCACCCCCAGCCCCAGGGGGCTGGGCAGGAGCTTTGCTGGGGACTTGCCCTGGCTTAGGCGGCCACTGTGGGCGGGCCCCTGGCCTTTCCATCCCCTGGGCCTCCCCCTGCATTCTAGAGCCTGGAGCTGCTGCCTTTGCTGCTGCCACTGCAGGGCTGCCACCTCTCCTCAACCTCTGACCAGTTGCTGCACCTCAATCCATTGCTCTTTTCGCCTGGTCATGACCTCGGTCCCCTCAGGGACCCTGGTCCAGCCCTGAGCCCTGGAATCCCCAGCCCCCTCCCCTGGGCCATGGCCAACTCAGGCCTCCAGCTCCTGGGCTACTTCCTGGCCCTGGGTGGCTGGGTGGGCATCATCGCCAGCACAGCCCTCCCGCAGTGGAAGCAGTCCTCCTACGCAGGTGACGCCATCATCACCGCCGTGGGCCTCTACGAAGGGCTCTGGATGTCCTGCGCCTCCCAGAGCACCGGCCAGGTGCAGTGCAAGCTCTACGACTCGCTGCTCGCCCTGGAAGGTAGGCCTCGTGCCCGCTGGGCTGGGCAGGTGGGATGTAGGGGTGGGGGCAAGCTTTCCCACAGTCGGCCATCTGCACTGGGCTCCACTCTCCAGCCCCTGCCTGCAGGCACTCAGGAAGAGCCAGGCCAGCCTGGTGCCCCGCTGGGGACAGGGGCTTCAGATTCTGGCAGCCGTGGGTCCAGATCCCAGCTCTGCCACTGTAACCTTGAAGGAGTCACCACCCTTCTCTGGGTTCTGCTGTCCTCATCTGGAGAGGGGAGCTCTCTGACTTTCAGAGGACTCTGGGAGGATCAGATGGGGCTCAGTCAAGCCCCTTCTCTCTACTTCTCCCCACACTCTGTGCAGACACACTGTGTGTACACACCTCCTTGCCACGTAGACAAGCATGCGGGCACTCGGGTGCACCTCCACACACGTGTGCGCACGCACACACATACATGCATGTGCACACACAGGTAGCTCTCCTCCTCCTGGGATGTGGAGTTGAGACTGACTGGTACACAGGCACCACTGCAGCTCTGCCCCTGGCCTGGGGCTGGCCCACCCCACCTCTGCCCTGGTCTCCACAAGCCTAAGCCGGGCTGCTGTCACATGGCCCCTGCCACTCCAGACCAGGCAGGTCATCTGGCCTCCCTCAGGGATCCAGATCTTCTGCGGTGCCCCCAGGCCCAGGACTGAGCCCAGCAGCAGGCATACAGCAACCCCAGGTGACTCAAAGGGCAGAAGGGAAGGTGACCTGAGGCAGAATGGCCAACGAGGGAGGCATCCCTGCCCAAGGGCCAGCCTGGGTTGAGCAAGGCCTCAGACACCCACAGCTCCTCCTTCTGCTGAATCTGAAAAGCCCCAGGAAAAGCTGCCCCTGCTTCTTGGGAGGGATGGGCCAAGCCCCAAAGGGAGTCCCCCGGCCAGAGAGTGGCAGATGAGAGAACTCATCCCACCCTGCCACCACACACTACCCAGAAGAGCTTGCAAGGGGGGAGTGAACAGTGGGGTTGATCGGTGAGGCTCAGCTTCACATCCTGTCTTCACACCCTGCTGTCACTAGCCCCTCACACCTAGCCAGTGGCTACCTCACGCCTGGGCAGGTGGCAGCCCAGGAGATGCTTCAACTCCAGCTCCAGCCCCTCCAGCTGGGGCTCCTCCCACCCACCCCTCTCTCCCCCACTGGCTCAGTCCCTCCCACCCCACCCAGGTCACATCCAGTCAGCTCGAGCCCTGATGGTGGTGGCCGTGCTCCTGGGCTTCGTGGGCATGGTCCTCAGTGTCGTTGGCATGAAGTGCACCCGGGTTGGAGACAGCAACCCCATCGCCAAGGGCCGCATTGCCATAGCTGGGGGCGCCCTCTTCCTCCTGGCAGGTGAGTATTCTGGCTCCTTCTCCACCATCTTGACCATGGTAGGTAGTCCCATCTTGGGGGCCAGAGCACAGCTGAGACCCCCTCCCCTGTCCTTAGGCCTCTGCACATTGACGGCTGTCTCATGGTATGCCACCCTGGTGACCCAGGAGTTCTTCAACCCAAGCACACCTGTCAATGCCAGGTGAGTGCCAGGGCATGGTTTGGGCCAAGGGACAGGCTGGGCCTCCAGTTCCACCTCCTCTGGGGCCACTGGCCTTTGTCCAGCAGGGCACTTGGAGGGGGAAATTGGAGGAGCACCAAGTGTTGTCACTGAGAAGCTGTCTGGAGTGGGGAGCAGGCAGGGTGGGGCTGGGCCTTCCAAAGGAGCAGGAGGCCTATGGAGGCCACCCCAGGAGCTAAATACCTTGGCTCAGAATTTAAATCCCAGCTCCGCATGGGCTGGCTGTATTCCTTAATCTTTCTGTGCCTGGTTTCCTTCCCCATAAACTGCAGCTAGGACCGAGGACACAGCTCAGCATGTTTGTGAGGGTTCTGTGTGATACAGGTAAGGGACTTAGCACAGCTCCTGGGCCCTGGAGAACGTTCAGTACGCCTGAGTTGTTATTCCTGCAGGACGCGCGATGACTTTGAGCCAAAGAGATGAGGCTAGAGAATTCCTAAGGGCAGATGGCTGAGGGCTTTGCAAAGGGGAAGGTTTTGTGCCCCATCTGAGGGTGGAAGGCAGGACAGTCTCTCTGGCTGTGGTGTGCAGAGTGGTAGAGAAAGGGCAAGGCCATTAAGATGCAATTACAAAGGTATGGAGCAGAGAGCTTGGGGCCAGAGGCTAACAGTGGAGAGTAGGCTCAGAGAGATTTTGGAACTAGAGTGGTCAGGACTTGTAAGGCAGAGAGGGTGGGGGCTAAATAGGGGGCACTATGAAGGGCCTGGTTCCTCCCTTACCGCTCAGCTTGGCCAGGAGCAGGAAATGGGACAGTCTCAATGCCAGACATCCCAACATCCCTTGGGCCCTGGGGTGGAATGAGGATGAGAAGAGAGATGCCTGGGTTGTTGCAGTTGGGAGGGCTCCCTGGAGGAGGCAGCAGTGTGGAGAGGGGAGGAAAAGGAGACCTCAGGCCTGAGGCTCATTCTCTGGGCTACCAGCTCTAGCCATGAAGACCTGCCAAGTAAGAGGCAGCTCAGCTGAGAGATGCCAGACTGGCACTCGCCCCTGTCCCTTCATCACACCCCAAGGCCGCCTGGGTTGCAGGCCCTGTGTGCTAGGCCCTGGGAACACAGATGAATCTGGTATTGCCCGCCCTCGAGGTGCTCCCCAGGGACTGAACTGCCACCAAGTGAGAGTCAGCGCAAGGCGGTGAGAACAGAGGGGTCAGGGAAGCAGGAGTAGGTGGCATCTGAACGGAGAGGCGCAGAAGGCGGGACGCTCCAGCAGGTGGCGCCTGGTGCGAAGGCACAGAGGTGGGGAGACCCAGGCGCTGCCGTGGGGCGGGGCTGGCCTCCCGCAGGGCCTGTGGGTGGAGAAGCTGGAGTGTCAGGCAGAGCGGTCTCCCCCAGGGGCAGTGTGAGCCCCACAGCGAGTTCCGTGGGCCAGACGGTGACTGAGAAAGGAGGCAGGACTGCCCCGCTCCTCCCCTCCCCGACGGGACCTGGCTGTCCCCCGACACCCCCTCCACTGGCCAGAGGAGCACAGAGGCCCGAGGTTGTGTGGAGCAGAGCCACCCTGGGCCTGGGTCAGCCTGGGCGGTGTTGATGTGCTGCAGCAGGGGTGGGAGGAAGGATGAGCGTTCATCCCAAATTACCGGGAGAACCCGAGGCTGGAAGCCCCGGGGGAGGATGGAGGGGAGGCCCTGAGCGCAGCCGCACCTTATGGCGTCCTCCACCCTTGGCAGGTTTGAGTTTGGCCCGGCGCTGTTCATGGGCTGGGCTGCCGCCGGCCTGGCCATACTGGGCGGCTCCTTCCTCTGCTGCACATGCCCGGAGCCGGAGAGATCCAACAGCAGCCCGCAGCCCTACCGGCCTGGACCGTCGGCTGCCGCCCGAGAGTACGTCTGAGCCCACCCAGCTTCCATCAGCCCCTGCAGCACCTCGGGCGGGGCCAAGAGTGCACAGGGCGTCCCCCCAGCTCGGTTAGGGCTCTGAGCAGCTTGTCCCCAGTATAGGCGCCCACTTCGCGCTCTGAGACAGACCCAGACACTCAGAGTTTGTGAAAGGCAGGCCCCAGCCCTCAGGCACACTCGCATTGCCAGATCCAGGCCCAGGCATGGACCTCTCTGCACCCCGTCATGGGCACCAGCGGGGTTCTGGACACTAGCTGGCTGCTGTCCCTTTCACTGGCCACTCATTTACTCACTGAAGGGCTACGTGAGTGTCCACTCTGTACCGGGCCCCAAGGACACAGCAATAAAGACGACCTGGGTAGCTGGAGCCCATCACCTCCCCAGGCCTGTGGGCTCCTCAGAGCAATCCGTGGAGGAGGCAGTGCCAGCATGACAAATGTCCCCGAGTCACACACAAACAGGCTCAGAGAGACCAAGAGACACAGCCCGGCTGGCTGAGTTCAGGTCTCAGGCTCTTCCGTAGGCTGAGCGCTGCATGGACACCCACATAGATGGCCAAGCCAGAGCATGTCATCCCTGCCTCCGAAAAGGGTCGCAGCAGGGCTGCTGTGAGCCATACTGGCCAGTCCCTGGGTCTGGGCCTGAACCCCACAGCCCCTGCCCTTCCCCCCACTGCCTGTTGCTCACCCTACTAACGAGCTCTCCTCTCTTTTGACTTTCAGACCAGTTGTTAAATTGTCCGCCTCCACCAAGGGCCCCCTGGGTGTGTAATGTCCATGTCTCCAGCCTGGCTCTGTCCCCCTGCCACACTTTGACTGTGTGTTTGGTATTTTTTGGAAAGAGATTTGAGCATCCAGCCCCAAGTGTGGTATCATTTGATCTGTCCCTGGTCTGGCAAGGGTGGGGCTTAGCTCAGAGAGGTCAGTGCTGGTCCCTGGGGTCCTTTGGCACAAAGATGGAGGAGAGACAGGAGACAGAGATCCAGAGTGGGTTACATAGCACATCCCAGCAGGTCAGGGCTCCTGCCCCTGCCCAGGAACCTCCCTAACTGTCCTTGGGTTGGCACCAGGACCCCTTGATTGGAAACACCCCCTCCTGCCAAGGCCTGGCCCTGCGTTAGGGTCAGGGGGCCCCTGGCCTAAGGAAAGACACAGTCCCACCCCTGCTACTCTGGCTGCCCCTGGAGCCTGGCTGAGGGAGGGGACAGTCCCTGGGAGGCCCTCCCTCTGGGTGCTGGGGCTCAGAGCCCGGTGAGGGGACACTAGAGAAGCTTGCTGTGGGGAGGAGGGCCAAGGGGAAGGATGTTAGGGCCTTGCAGGCAAATCGGAAGCCCCCAGCTCTGCTCCCCACCACACTGCTGCCACTTTTCCCACACCCGCTCTTCTTCCTCTCTATTCTGCTGAGGTCCTGCTGCGTCCCAGCCTGGGAACCGACAGAGGGATGGGTGGCCTGAAGCTACCTGAGACAGTGGCTGGAGCTCCAGCCTCACCCAGAGGCTCTTGGTCTTAAAGGACAGATATCACTGCCTTAGAATAGAACGGAGGGGAATGTAGGGAAAATTACCCCAGATCAGCCCCTGCCCTCGTGCTCAGGCCTCTCCCACCCCAAACATCCTCCCTGGACCTGAGACTCTCTCTGGCCATAGCGCCCTCTCTCCCCTGGCTGGAAAGAGCTGACTACAGCTGTCCCTTGCCTTTCCCCGTCCCGCTCAGCCAGCTCTGTTCTGGCTGCCTCCACCACCTGTCCCACCAAACCACCAAAGCCCAAGGACACAGCTCAGCCTTCTCCCATCAGATAAGATGCCTGTCACACACGCTCCCCCAGGAGCAGGTAGGGGTGGGAAGGGAGGAGCAGGCAGCAGAGCTGCTGTGGGATCATCCATGGCTGCCCTGACCCAGCAACGGTGGCAGGTACACGGGGCGCATCAGGAGCTAGGGGGTGCCTGAGCCTGACCTGGCTCACCAGGGCCCTGCCCCTCGAACAATGAACGAGAACCACAGAAGAGCCTGTCTGGGTGCCTGACGCTATAATGCAGCAGTTCTTGGCCCTGGTACACATTCGAGTCACCGGAGAGCTGAGGCCCAGCTCGACCCCCGGGTGTCTGGGCTTCATGGGCCTGGGGTGGACCTGGGCATCTGAGAACCAGCCAGCTCAGCTCCCGAGGGAGTGCCATGCGTTGTCAGCACTGAGGCCACTACTGTGAGGCCTGAAGCTCGGGGCTGTGACAGCCACATTTCTTGCCCCTCTGAGGGAGTCTCATAGACGAGGTAGGAAAGATGAGAGGAAGCCCTGTCTCCCTCTCTTTTCTGAGACCAGGCTGTTCGTTAAGATTCCCACACCTTCCCAATAAATAAATAAATCCCTTTTCACTGAAGCAATTTTGAGTCTGATTTTGGCTCACACAGCCAGAAGGGCCCTGACTAACACCAGATTTTGACCCTAGAAAGTGAGTGTCGCAGTGAGAGCTCCCGTGACAGATGCCACTGAGCCGGGTGGGATGGGGGGCCCCAGAGGCCCACCCTCCATGTCCAGGTGGGCGATTTGGACACCCTTGCTGTCTGGTGGGGAAGCAGTTGGCCAGGAGGTTTCCATGTGTTGTCTCTTGAGGTTCAGGGACCACCAGAGGCTTGGGAGTTGGTAGGAAGATGTGGGGATTGAAGGTGCTGGCTTCTTCAGGAATAGGCTGCGGGAGAGACGAACTGTAGGCCGGCGGGTGGCCTGACGGCAGGGTGGGAACAGGCTTCCGTGTGGTCCTTCTTGAAGGGGAGCCCTTGTGCCTATAGCCGGAGACTGGAGAGGCGGAGAGACGGATCCACTCACAACCCCATCAACACACTGATTACAACGCAGGAGGTCCTGGCACTGGGAAGACATCTGGGAAAAGTTAGAGGAAGCAGAAACTAGAAGAGTTTGGGAAGCCTGATCCCCCAGGGCCTCTCCTCTTTCAAATGTCTACATCCTGGCCACCTGCCGCTGCCAACCTGCAGTAACTAGCCTGGCCTCCTGTTTGCTGTCCCAGCCTCAAGGCTGGAAGATTGAGAGGAGATCCAGGAAGATGGGTCAAAGAGAATGATCTGAAAGCTGGTGCCGTTGTTTGTTAGCAGAGTTCCTCCAGGAGTGAATGAAAATACGGTTTGGGGAGGAATATACCTGAGCGCTCAGCCCTCAGCCCCAAAGGAACGTTCGCCCCAGTAGCACGTAGCATGGCAACAGAAGGTGTTCAGCTAAGGGGAGCGAGTCGGGGTGCTGGAGTAGCTGACCACCCATTGCCCGCACCCGAGAATGTGCATAGGAAGGAGGAGTTAGGTGATGTTGCCAAATTATGGTTAATTTTGTGTTATACGTATTAATTCTGTGTGATAACAACACTTTGGTCATTATATTTTTCACCCTTATCTGCTAGAGGTGCACACTGAAATGATACCATGGCTAGAGTTGCTTTTAAATGCTCTGGGAACAGAAAGGTCAGGAGCCGGGGAAATTGTAAGATTAGTAAATGCCAGTGGTCCTTAGGGGTTCACTCGGCTCTTCTGTGTGTATGGTTGCAAATGAAAAAAAATTAAAAGGTTATAAATACCTCTAAGTTTTGCTGATTGTATTGTTTAATATACTCCCTGCTGACCACTGGAATGAGGGAGATGAATACTCCAGAGATTCTTGCTACTCAAAGCACAATCCTCCAACCACAAGCGTCGCACCACCCAGAAACTTGTTAGAAATACAGATTCTCAGTGGGGAGGGTATAGCTCAAGTGGTAGGGCGCATGCTTAGCAGGCATGAGGTCCTGGGTTCAATCCCCAACACCTCCTCTAAGAATAAATATATAAATAAGCCTAATTACCTCCCCCCAACAACAACGAAAAGGAAATACAGAGTCTCAGGCCACACCACAGACTAGGTGAAACCAATCCACCATGTTAAGGCTATCTCCTGGGGATCCACGCACACGCTGAAGTTTGGGAGTTGCTGCTCTAGGCCAGTGAGAGCTGTGTGTTGCTCCTCTTCTGGATGAGAGCTGCAGCTGAGCTGCTGTTTCTCTCTCATCGTTTGAATACTGGATATAATGAAAAGTGGTTCGATGTAAGATTTCATCTAGAGTTGGCAAGACTACGGGGAACCACAACTAGACCTGATCCAAGCAAAACTGGAAATGAAGAACAGACGACACCCAAAGCAGTGCTTCTGACCTTTTCTCCTCACAGAGACATAAAAATAATTAGTTCAATGTATGCAAATAGTGCAGGCCATTTTATTCTGGACAACAATCCTGTTGAAAACCACTAAAAATGTTGAGTAAAGTGTAAAATATTCTTCGAAGCATCAATGGGTTGACATGATGCTGCGGAATCACCAAGTCAAAACCTGAAGCCCTCCCTCTCTCTCTCTGCGTGGTGGCCCACGTGGTCACCACCAAGCTGAGGTGTCCTGGGCTGGCAGAGCCTGGGCTGGTTACACAGAAGGGGGTTGAACAAATAGTGTACGGAAGATAATGGGAGCCAGGCTTTCCATTGTCAGAGAATCAGTTTACAGAGATGGAAATGAGGAGAGCAGAATACATCTTGTGGTGTTGGACTGGAACTGCAGGCATCTGGATGAACACGTGGCTTTTATTCATATGTAGATAAACAATAAAATATAGTTGTGTGTGTGTACATGTGTGTGATACATCTACACAGAGTCGGTCTTCTGTGCCTGTGGATGTGGGACTGGCAGTATGGAGGGTCGAATGAATTGCCACGCTATTTTATATAAGGGACTTGAGCATCTGGGGACTTTGGTACGGTTGTGGTGGGGGACTTCTGGAAACAATCCCTCACAGGCACTGAGGGCAGACTGGACATGTATCTGTGTGCTTTATCCCCCAGAAAGGTCAAAAAGCATATCTTGATTTCTGAATACCATTCTCCACTAAAAGATACCAGAGCTCCGTGAAGAAATGGCTGTTTTGAGGGCTGGGATAAGGAAAGTACAAAATAAGCTTGGAGTATCTTGTTGCAGAAGGTAAAAAAGTGCTCAAGGAATGACAGAGACGTCTAAAGGATACAGAAGCCAGATAAAAGGGGTTCCCTCTGGCTTTATCTGGAACAATTTGAGCATCAAAATAAATAATGACAGAAATGGAGTTTAAACTCAGTGAATAAAAATAAGAGTCCACCAGGCCATATTAATATGAATAATTAAATAAAAAGTGGGGGAAAAGAAAAAGCTCTACTTTACAGTAAAATGCCAACTGATATGAGTAATTTATTAACTAGTAAGTACAAAATATTTAACTTTGCCATGATGAAACACAGTAGACGTATTTTGATCAAGTTGGTAAGAGTTAACACCACCAGAAGTGGGACAAGGCAAAATTGTGTCCCCTTGATACAACGCACTGAGAAGAAAACAGCATCATTTATATGGTATTCCTGCTAAAGGTGAATAAACTGAATCCACTTACGATATGACAGACAAATGCAAATCGAGTTATTCAACAAAATAACTGCCAGTACCCTTGAAAACCGTCAAAGTTATAAAAGACAGGAAAGACTGAGGAGCTGTTCCAGACTGAGGAGATTGGCGAGAGATTACCACTACCTGCAGTAAGTGAGGGCGGACTGGATCTGGACCTATAAAAGACACCTTGGGATAACCAATGACATTTGAATGGTGTCTGTAGTTGAGATGATGGTACTATATCAAAATTAGTTTCCCACAGACAGGTATTTTTGTAGGACAGTATCCTTGGATTTTAGGAAATTACACACTGAAGTACTAGAAGGATAATGAGGTGTCAGGAAAAATATGCATAAATACACCTGAAGAAAGAGTTACAAGGCAAAGAGTTGCAAGATAATATTAATTGGGCAA